CAAAATTATATGTTACTATAAAATTTGAAGGTGCGCCTTAATTGGATTGTTTAAGGTTGCAACCTTATAGAAACCACACCCATCACTAATACATGTGATATATATTATTGTTAAAATGTTCAGTGGCCATTGATTTTCTTTTAAAAATATTAACACATCTTTGCTTTGGTGCTATTATGTTGGCATTGATTATAAAAAAATATTGTGAAATACACCTAGAATCCTACATAAATTAAGAGTAAGTGATGTCAGTGTTAGTACTGATTATAAAAAATATTGTAAAATACACTTGGAATCCTACGTAAATTAGGGGCAAGCGATGTCAGTGTTAATACTGTGCTATAAAATGGATGGTTTGGTCTTTAATGAAGTTAAAATGCTTGCAAAGGATTGGGAGCACAATTGTTTGGAAGTTTCTCTGAGAAGCATTTGTGATCCCCTGTCTAATCATGTTCTTATTCTTTTTGCATATGGTATGAGGCTCTTTTAAGATGAATCTGTTCAAGTTTGAAAATATGTGGTTATGATGCAGTGGGTTTTACTTTTTTATTTTATTAATTTTTTAGGAGACTAGAATTTGGGTTTTTGATCTTTTAGGTTTTTCCTTTTTGTTTTCTAAGGGCATTTAACTGACCCCAAATAGTTGGGAAAAGGCTTTGATGATGATGATGTTTTATAAGGGTATTTGTCTTTTTTGTTGTGGAGGATTGAGGGCTAGAGTGGGTAACATAATATGGAAGATGAGGGGCTTGGATTTAATAGTGATTGAGATTTGATTTTACGTCTTAGGAAAATCTCATTTTGGGATGGACTCCCTGCAAACTAAGAGAGGGTATATATTCTCACATTGTTTTTCCTTTTCTTTACTTTTTTGGTTTCTCTTATTTTCTTTTTCTTTTTTTCCTCTCTGTTAATTGGTATCAGAAGTTCAGAAGATCCATCCATTACTATGCAGCAAAAACCCGCTCTATGAAGGATAGACTGCCACAAATCATGCAAGCTATGAATCAAAACATAAACCGGATAATGGAAGACATTCAAGTCTAGATTAGCGAAATTCGACGAGAGATTGGCGAATTTGAGGAGAGATCAATGAAAAGGATGACCAGTTACAACAAATAGAGGTATAAATCATGGAGAAGAAGATGCTCATAATCTAGTAGATCTAGCACCAAATCTCAATGAGCTCCATGACCTACTCCTAGGGCTAATCGTATACACAGTGAGCAGAGGCAAGAACCACGACTTTTGGCGTTTATGTGACCTCGGTATCAAGGCCTATGTCTCGAGTTTTCCCTGTAAATTCCACATTGAAGTTTTCATTGATTGGTTGAGCACGGTTGTAAATTCCTTTCAATGAAGTGAATTGTTGGAGCTCCTCGAAATAGAGATCAAGATGATGCTCAACATCCTAGATTTCCACTACAGATTGCATTTTAAGAGTTCGATTAAATTGGTTTATTAAGTGGAAAAAGTACCTAGGTGAATGGTGGGAGGGATTGTACCACGAATTATTGGCGAGATCTCTGAAGGATTGGTTTATTAGGTGGAAAAAGTAACTAGGCGAATGGTGGATTATACCACCAATTATTGGAGAGGTTTGTGAAGGATGTGATAAACACAACGAACTCAAGGTCGAGCTTCTCACAACCTTGGGAGAATAATGCAGTGGGTTTTTACTTTTTTTTGTTTTATACTTAGCTTTAGGATACTAAATTGGGTTTATTTAATCTTTTGGTTTATTTATTTATTTTTTTGTTTTCGTATGGCATTTATGTTTTTTGTTGTTGTAGAGAATTGATGGGTAGAGTATGTAAGTTCATATAAAAAATGAAGGGCTTGGATTTAATAGTAATGAGGGTTTTTTATAGAGTAAATCAGGGTTTCTTATAGAGTAAATCAAAGTTTAAAATTTTACCTTTTTTTTTTTTTAATATGTAAGTCTTGGACAAGGAAAAGTTGGGGAAGAAGAATTGTTTTTGCACCTTTTGTGCTTGACTCTATTGCAGATCTAGAGAGTTAGTCAAATCTCTCAACCTTTGGGGTGGACCCCCCTTCGGACCTAGAAAGTGGCTATCTTCTCTCAATTTTCACTGTGTTTATTTTCCTGATTTATTTAATTCTTTTTCTCTCTTCCCTGCATCAGGTTAGAGGCTGTTGGGTTTAAGGAATTCATTTCCTGGGAAAAGTGGCCACAGTTTCATAAAGGTGCTCACATAACGAACAAATGGAATAGTCAGGTTTCTTGTGAAGTGGAAGAGTGAAAGGCTAAAATCTTAGTTCTTATTGCAGTGGCGATATATGGTTATAGAGGAGCTGAGTGAGGATCAAAACTGTAAACTTGGTATATTGATGGAGTTCAAGATATTCTATGAGCTGAGGTGAGAGCTCTTGGTGACATAAGTGCGTAGGTTGTTGGCAGAAGGGGTGAAGACACTGAATTTGTGCATGGAATGGAGGAGCAAAGTGAAGTGGTGAGCTCATCTGTTCTTTGAAGGTAAGTGAGGCTATTGAGTAATCCATGAACATTGAAGAGGCAATAATAACTCTTTTGAGAAGTCGTATGCAAAGAGCAGAAGATTTCACCTCGATTAGATGCATCAGTGTTTGATTGGTGCCACAAGAATCAAAAGTATAAGTTTTTTCCTTTCTTTTCATTTTTTTTCTTTTTCTTTTTTGATAAATGACTTGAGCATAAATCTGTAAAGTAGGTTAGAAGACAAGTGTTTTAACTTTTAACCAACTGCTTGTGTAGGAAGTAGTGGTGCAGCCTAGTAGTAGAATGGTTGAAAACAAGATGCAATGAAACTATATATTTTTGCATAGGATGGCTCTGCACTGCAAAATGACATAATGCTTTCATTTGAGCTGAATGGGGTGCACATTATCTTGTTTTTCATAGATTTGGACCTTCCTATTGAATGGTTGTTCAGTAACTATGATGATCTGTGTTCACTGCTGACCTCTGAAAATTAGAAAAATGAAAGTCTCTCTTGTAAACTTTGTTGAAGTATTATATTTTCAGTATAACTTCGAAATGAAATGAACCAATATCTAACAGTTACCTGAGTTTTAGGTGGTGTGCCATGGAATTGGATCTGCACTTTGGCTTCACGCTTCTGATGCAAACTGTGAACTTTATTTCGATGTTGATTCATATAGAGTTTTAAAAATGCCACTTATTACATGCAATATTTCAGGTTAGTTTATGCTGTATTGGCAGTTTATAGAATCCTACAGATATGCTAGATTTAAAAGTATATCAGTTTTAGCTGTGGGTGCTATCCTGTCTGGCATTTTTAAACTTGATTCATACTTGCAGAAAGGTTCTCTTCTGTACTTTTTAACTGAAACATGTATGTGATCGAAAATTGTGTTGAGAGTGAGAAAACAGTGTAGGCCTTGCAAGTATTGTGCTATCGGGAGTCAAGACTTTTTGTTTAAGCTAGCTCTGTATAAGATTTACTGAACTGATCCGCTGTATAACATTTACTGAGCTGATCCCATGAAATTATACTCCTATTCTTTCGTTACTTGGTGAGTAATATTTATATTATTTTCTTAAGCAGGTCATGAAAATTTTGAAACAAGATCACAGTGACCAACCACTCTCTTCTATTTTTAGATCCTTGGTGATTGTTGGAACTGCTAGCAAGGTTCAGCTGCTGGTTGCTAAATTCCAAGCAGAAAGATTTGCTGTGTCTAGTGATCTTGTGAATGTTCGATCACATGGATCAACTCCTTCGGACCATTCAAGTTTGTCCAGGTCAGTACACTCTAACATTTGGATGATCATTTTCCAAAATTACTGTATCATTTCAAATTGCCACAGGGTATTTCTATTGTCTCTTTTTTTTCAATTGAAATCTTAGATATTGGAGTCTCCTATTTGAAGTAGCCACCATGATCTAGAAATGTATGATTTTACAAACCACAGTGAATTTTTCGCAAGTTAAGTTCTTAAAGAAATTTGGTTATTTGGTTCTTTCTGTTTTCTGTTACAAATACTGAATTTTGTAGCTATGAAGGTCCCTAATAAGGTCTGGACTGGGACAATTCTTAGTTATCAGGGTAACCTATTGGGGGGGGCCCAGATCTAGAAATGTACAAATTTGAAAAGCATGGGGGTTAAATATGGCATTGGTTCTATCATCTGTTTAAAAAGGACCTTAAAGCTAACAATTTAATAAACTAAGGGGATTTGAAATTAACATACAAACCACTAAAATTAGGACTGTCCATCCGTCCATCATCATCATGCAATGAGAATCCTTGATTTTGTGTAATTTAGATTTGACTCTCTCCTTACGAACTTGGAAAGTTGTCTTGTAATCAGAGTTCTAATACATATGTTTTCCTTGCATGAATATGATTAAGCCAACTTTTCAATTCTGAGTTTTATTAATTTCATGAAGTAAACAAAGAATGCATTTTTTTAATTATGTTTTTTAGTCATGAGTTTTTATTGCTTAACAATTTTTTGCCATTTTAAATTAGAGGATTTAAAAATAAATTATCTTTGTACAGTAGTCCTAATAAATGAGGTTATTTGGATTCCTTTAATTTTTATTTTCTAGTAAAATAGGGAATAGTTAATTTTTATCTTTTAACTAGAAAATTTTATTAATTTATGTCAGTTCAAAATTAGAGGATTGGACAATAGTGTACCACATAAGAGTCCAAATCCATAAGGTGTCGTCACGAATCTGAATCTCTCATTTCTTTGTTTTTTTTTTTTGATAAAGTTAACCTCAAATTGATAATAAGAGTAATGGGCGATCCAGAGTGTGGATGCTCCAAAGTTCAGAGGAAAAAAAAAAACGAAACGAAAAGGCCTTCTTAAAGAAGGTTACAACAAAAGAAACCCAAAATAAGACGACGCTCCCAAAAAGTTCTATGAGCCAGCCATGGTTGCTGCTGCTTTAGCCAGGGTATATGTCTCCTGATTACCTTCGCTCCAAATATGCTGCCATGAGACGTGCGTATCCCTGCACAGGTGATGGATCTCATAAAAAATTTGAGCCAAATACCACAGGGGGAGGGGTAGGGGTGGAAGCCCATAAAATCACATTCTTGGAGTCCCCTACTATCGTAAGCGACTCTAATCCAAGAGGCTGGATTAGTTTGAGGCCTTCCAATAGTGCAATGGACTCTGTTTCTGTAGAATCGATATGGTCAAGGAACTTTGAGAGGGAGGTGACAGTATTTCCAAGGTGGTCTCTAAGGAGCACACCAGCTCCTGATGGTCCTGGGTTGTCCAGGGAACATCCATCGATGTTTAGCTTGAGGGTGCCCTGGGCAGGAGGTCTCCACAATGCTGCCCTTGAAGGACGCTTGCGATTGTGTTGGAGAGATGTGACAGAAAATTCCGGAGGCTACCGGAGTCCAAATAATGCGGTCTGCACCATGAGGGGCTAAAAAACAATCTGAATCTCTTCTTATAATAAGGTTTCCATGCTTGTTTATGGTTAATATAATTTTTAAAATTTTTGGATTTTATTTATTTTTTATTTTATGTAAAATAAGAAATACAGTTTTCTATGTTTTAGATTTTTAATATGTATGTGTCAAAAGTGGTTTGACAAATAGTTTACAACTCGATTGGTTATACCTGTGCGTCCATTGACTGTGGACTGGTGATTGATAACAAGTCCGAACTTTTGTTTTTCATGCCTCGATTAGTCCCCACTTTGAGGTTTAAACAAATTATACAAGCAAACCATGGACTCAAAATTATTGTCAGTATGAGTCACTTACTTCCTTGAACAAATTCACAAGCGAAACAAATTAGCAGTTTTCTCCCATTTGTACCTCATCAAAGCTTGTCTGGATATAAAGACAGCTCATCCTAACCAGTTTAGGATATGGTTTGGGTCCTAAAACCCTTGGAAATAGAGCGAATCCATGACTGGCAGACTCACTAAAAAATTTACGGTTGCATGATATTTATTTTTACTTTATTCTAGCACTTACCTATGAGTTATTTCGAAAAAGTTTATATAAGATTGCAGTAATCTTCATTGTCCATTTTATTTAGACGGTTTGGATTTGACGTTATCTTAAAGACGTGTCACTTGTTAAATTATCTTAAAAGATGTGTTAAATCTACACTGACCAATAGATGATGTAGAACATCGCAACCTTCTATAAGTAAGGTTGCCACCTTGCACAACCTGCACTCTTTATATTATGTATATTGAAAGTTGCAGTGAGAAAAGGTTGGTGGTACAAGTGACCGATAAGGAGGGGAGTTTGAAGCCGTGATTTTTTTCAACTTCCTATGATGCATTGAAAAATATGTTGAGATTCTCACTAAGATCGACTAAGGTTTCAGCAATTTGGGGTTTGATCAGTGTTTGAAAAATCGACTATTGTGACTCGTACTTGCCTGAGTTATTCAATCTGAACAGGTTGTCGAGTCTGTAATGATTGAACAATCAAAGTGCAGAACTAAATGCATGGGAACAGGCCAACCTGACAGGCCAATCAGAGTGTCGAGTCTTACCCGTTCTTAGTATTTTATTAAGATTTTGTTTGGACTAGGCCAGCCTGACTTGGCCAAGTCTGTCAGACCTGACTCGGGCTTGGGGCCCTAGTGAGACCTGACCACAGCCCTTTTTATTTGAGACGTGGCTAGGCCATTGATTTTTTTGGGGTGCTTTGACCATTTTAATGACATTTTCCTTCTATGTCATATTGCAAGTTGCAGTGAGAAAGGGGTGGTGGTATCAGTGACCGATAAGGACAGCATAGGAAGGACAGAGGACATTGGGGTGTTTCAAACTATATTTTTTTATGACTTTCCATCTTCCATTGAAGAATATGTTGAGATTCTGAGTAAGATGGAAACCCACTTAATTAAAGGAGTGATATACAGTTTGTGCAGTGGAGTGGATGCCCCTCTGGCTAAGCCTTTAATAAAGGTTATGGAACAGCATGCTCAACCTGTGCCTGAAACTCTCAAAATGCTCTCTGATGCTGCATCTGTAGTATTCAAACAGTGACATTGGTTTTAGTTTTGAATGATATTTGTTTGCATCTTTTAGAGAGAGAAATCGGTTTCCATGTTACTTGCCAATTGGGCTTAGTTTTTTGTTTTTCTGGCTTTTGGTGTTTTTAATGTATATGGACTTCCTTTGCTTCTTAGTATTGAGGAATAAGATATTATTTGAGAAAATTGAGGGGCATGAAGGGGACCTTAACGCAACTTGAATCTCTCTCTCTCTACCCGGACCTGAAAAATTGATATGGGACCAGGACCAGGACCCAACTAAAAAATTAAAATACTTAAAATATCTATGTATTTAACTACATTTAAATGTATTTTATATATTGGGACCCAAAAAATATTTCTGGATCTAGAGCCTGGACCCGATTGGACATGAACCCAAATAGTGTTTGGATCCAAACCTGATTCACAGGGTCCAATGTTTAGACCCATGCCCGGATTGGATCGGGTCTACCTCTCGGATCCCGGGTCAGGTCTGGGTCCGGGTCCAGGTCCGGGTCCAAATATTGTAACTAAGAAGCTACTATTGTCCCTAAGGTTACCATGGCCTAAAATATATGCCTAGTTTATTCTTACCTCAAACAGAAGCTCTTTTTGGTTGACATTGAATTTCACACGAGTACCAAATGTCCATTATCCGCAAATTTAGTGTAGCCTGCCCCATACAGCAAATTATAATTTTTTTGTCCTCTGCTGGGATGAAAAAAAAAAAAAACACTTTGTGGCCAACAAGTTCATAACATGGGGTGGATGTGGAATCATGTGCGGCCCAAAATGAAGTCCAGCACAAAAGCTGAGCATGATTTTTTATTAATACTTTCATGATTGAGGCATAGAAGGCTGGAGTGCTCTAGACTCCAAGTAGCAATAAATATTGTATTCTAAGCAATGGTTTAAAAAATGGATCGGTGATCCGGATCGGGCTTTCAAAAAACTGATCCGGATCGGCGAATCGGCGATCCGGATCGAGAATTGGGTGAATCGGTCAGAATAAAGTTTAAAAAAAATTCGAAAAAATTATTAAAATTCATTATAAATATTGTTTTTTAGGAATTCAATAAAAAATGAGGGTACTCCATTAAGAATTTTCATGTTTTTGAATGAATATGCGAATATTGATATGTTCTTTCCCTGCATGAACCGCCATTCAGCATTTAATTTATAGTATTTCGTGCTCATCCCTAT